TGTGGGGGCGGGGAGGGGGGCGGGTAGAGATCCAGAGGTACTGTGGCCTTCATTTTGCCTGGTGATCAGAGACCCATTCATTCAGGTCTCTTACCCACCAGAATGGCCTGGGGCCCTAGGAAAACCCCTTCCTGGTCCCCCGTTTTTTAACAAGGTCATCAAGAGGCTCAGATGAGAGTCCCCAGTAGCTCCCACATGCAGAGGGAGACAGGAGAGATGAGGCTCTGTGCTCTGGGCACCAGCTGGACCCCTGCCATCCCTATGGGCACTGAGCCTTGGCCACAGGCATGTGGGAAAAGCCATCAGAGCTGCCTGAGGCCCTGGCAAAGCTGCCAAAGGCTCCTAGTCCTGCCAGCAACAGTTCAGGCCTGTGTGGGGACAGGGCAGTTGGAAGGGGCTGGGCAGGAGCTGGCTCTGGGATCTTTTCCTATGCCCTCAGCTCCTCTCCCCTGACCTGGACCCAGCGCACCACACCTCGCTTGAGCAGGCTGGCCCGGTAGCGGCCCTCTAGGGTGCAGTTCCAGCGCTCAAAGCGGAACTGGTACTGGCACTCGAGGGCGCTCATGCTGACCGCTTCCACCAGTGTCTCCGCCACACCCGGGTCCCGGCGGCACATGCGCCGCTGCTTCCGCTCCAGCTTCAGCCGGTCGCAGGCCTTGTAGTGTGCCTGTACGGCTGCCTCGGGCTCCAGGGTCAGCGGGAGGATGGTCAGGGGCTCGCTGCCGGTCAGCCTGCACACAGAGAGCCCAGGGTGAGCACCACCCCAGAGGAAGAGCCATCGCACACACCCGGGCAGGGCTCAGGAGGCCAGGCCTCAAGGAGGCACATACACTACACCCACAGTCTTGCCCGCTTACCCAGCTGGGAGGAGCCCTGCTCCTGGATGCCCACCTCTGCCATCCCCACGTGGAGGTGGACCCTTGGGAGGTCCTTGCCCTCCAGCAGCCTGTACACATGGCCCCAGGTCCCAAGGGATCTCCCAAAATGCCTGCACCAGAGCACCGCCCAGCCCGGGACCCACGTGCCACTGGGAAACCGGCCCCTTTCTCCTGTAGCTCCACCCAAGGCCCTGGCCCACGGGGTCTGTAGCCTGCTCTCTGTCCTGCTGCCCTCCACCCCCATCTGCTCCATCCAGGGACTGACAGGCCTGGCCTTCTGTCTGCTATGGCCTCAGTGTCCCCAGATAGAGCAACTGTACCTCTGGGCCTCAGACATGTCCATGCCCAGTCACATTCAGACCCTTAGCATTGGGAGGGAGAGATGCCCACCAGGACAGGGGCAGGACTCAGAGCTCCCATTCGAGCATCTTTGGAAACAAGCCTCCCACCCCAGCCCACCCATGGGGAGCATGGCCCCCTCACCATGCCCCATCCTCCCTCCTGCTGCCTCTCAAAAGGCCACTCAGGGTTACAGTGGCTACCAGGCTGACTCCAAGAGCCCCAGCTTTCTATAGGAGGAGGGATGTGGTGGGCCCTCCTAGAACCCCACCCTGTGGCAGACCCCCAGCAGTGATGCTCCTCTGGGGATAACCCAGGTTCTGGCTTTCAAAGTCTCCCTGCCTCCGCTCCCTCTCACCTCCCACCATATACACCCCAGCATGGCCTCTCCCAGGCCTTGCCTGGGTGGGGGCCTCTACCCTGCTGAGGGCCCAGTGGGACTCCCAGACTCTGAAGAGACAGGGCCTGCCTCAAAGACAGGAGGTCCAGCAGGGAGCCAGGCAACACTGCAGGGACACCAGGGCAAAGGCCCTGGGGTGCAGAGAGGAGTGGCCAGCAGATGGGAACAGTCACCCTTGGAGGATGAGGCCACATAGGCAGGCCTCAGACCAAGGATGCGCCCCTACACTCTACCCCTTCCACACTCTGGCTCCATTAGAAGACACCCCCCTCCCCCAGGCCTGGGCCCTGCTCTCCATGTGCCCAGACCGGCCTGGCACCAGAACAGAGCGCTGGCCGTGCCCCCACCAGCTCCAGTCCCAGAAGACTTCACTGCAGGGCCCGCTCTCCTAAGTGATGCTCTGAACCAGGAGCCCCCTTTGCTCCCCCCACCCCATGCACAGTGGGAGGCCAGCATGGACCCGGGCTGGGGGAGAATCCCAAAGGTCCCTGAGGCACAGGAGGGGCCTGGAATGGGTGGCCCTATGGTGCAGACAGAGAGACAGCAATGTCTTTGAGGAGCAGTCTGTGAGCTCTGAGCTGGAATGCTGTGCCAGAGAGGAGGTGGTGAAGGACAAAGCCCGCCAGCCAGTGACCTGCATCCCCACTGCTGCCGCAGGGTTACTGCTTCATTCCTAAGGGCACAGGGACTGCCATGAGTGGCTTCGTGGACTTCCAAGCCTCCTGCCCAAAGACAGCTGCTGAGGCAGACGGAGAACAGGCTGGGGCCCGCAGACCCCAAGCTTGAGGCTGGAAAAGCCATGCTCCCCACACAAAGGCAGCTCACACAGTGGAGACTTGTCCCCAGACAGGAATGTCAACAGCTGTGCCCAGAACGGGTGCCAGGCAGCAGAAACCCCGCAGCCTCCAACCTGCACGAGATTAACCAAGCTCCAGGCGGTGCCAAAACATTCCAGCATCCAAGAGGACCCCCAAAGGTGGGGCCAACGTAGGGGGATCTGGGGCCAGCCTAGAGAGGGCAGCTGTGAGAATGTACAAGGAAAGGGAAAGGATGGTGGGCCACAGTGTCCCCCAGTCCAGAGAGGCTGAGGACAGGGGTCCCAACACACCCAGGGCCACACTGCTTTCTAGTTCAGGTAAGGAGAGGGCCAGAGTCCCCCTACACCCAGGGTTGCACTGCCTCCTATCCTCACTGCACAAGGGCAGGAGTCCCCTACCTGAGGTTGTACCCGGTCTATGCTATACATGGCGGCCGAGGGCAGGTGTCCACCCATAACCAGGGCCTCCTCATCCACACTGCATCTAGGGGCAAGAATAGGGGTCCTCTGACACCTAGGGCCAACTGTGTCCATACTACACATGCAGATTGAGGGCAGGGTTCCCCATGCACTAGAGGTGCAACCACACTGTTCTGCTCCCAAGGCAGCCCCTTCCCAACTCTCCGACACCAGCACCCAGATGGTCCCTACACCAGATGGTCCCAGCACCCAGATGGTCCCTACTGCCAGGGTGTGTTCAGTGTGTGGTCTGCAGATAGAGCAACTATCTGGGGCTCACAGCCTGGGGTGCAGAGGACAGACCCTTGCGGAGGTGTCGGGTGGCAAGATAAGTGGGCAGAAGATGTTCAGGGTGCAGGAGGACTGGTTTCTGGGCGTAGCGGAATAAGTCCCGGTGACAGGAACCAGGGATCCAGGACAGAAACCCCAACACCGAGAGTAACCACAGCAGTGCTAGAGGAAAGATGAGAGGTTTATAAAACATTCCTAGAGTCAGGAAGTCTTTTCTCAGAGTGAATCACAATCCAAAAGACCTTGAAAAATTAATAAATTTTACTCTTAAAATAAAAGAATCTCTGCACAGTGAAACAGTAGCATAGAGTTTTAAAAAACAATAGATAATGGGAAAACATATTTGCCAATGCTATTTCAGATAAGGTTTTAATCTCCAAAATTTATAGAGAACTCATACAACTTAATAAAAGGAAGGTAAAGGATCCAATCAAAAAATGGGCAAAGGACCTAAATAGACACTTTTTGAAAGAAGACATACAGAAGGCTGAGAGACATACGAAAACATGCTCAAAGTCACTAATCATCCAAGAGATGCATATCAAAACAACGAGATACCATCTCACACCTGTCAGAATGGCTACCATCAACAAATCAACAAACGACAAGTGCTGGCGAGGATGTGGAGAAAAAGGAACCCTCGTGCACTGCTAGTGGGAATGCAGACTGGTGCAGCCACTGTGGAAGACAGTATGGAGTTTCCTCAAAAAGTTAAAAATGGAACTCCCATTTGACCCAGTGATCCCACTTCTAGGAATATACCCCAAGAAACCAGAAACACCAATCAGAAAGGATATATGCACCCCTATGTTCATAGCAGCACAATTTACCATAGCTAAGATTTAGTGCCCATAAGCAGATGAGTGGATTAAAAAATTGTGGTACATCTACACAATGGAATACTATGCCACTGTTAAAAAAAAAAAAAAGAACTTTTACTATTTGCAACAGCATGGATGGAGCTGGAGAGCATTATGCTAAGTGAAATAAGCCAGTCAGAGAAAGATAAATATCACATGATCTCACTCATATGTGGGATATAATGATCAACATAATTTGATGAACAAAAATAGATCCAGAGACAAATGGCAGGGGAGAGAGGGGGAGGGGTAGAGAGCAACCAAAGGACTTGTATGCATGCATATCAGCATAACCAATGACACAGACACTGGGGCGGTGGGGGCTTGCCCGGAGTGGGAATGGCTGGGGGTAAGGGGTCAATTGGGGAAAAAGGAGACATATGTAAAACTTTAGATAATAAATCTTTAAAAAAAGATTTTAAAAATTAATACTAATGACAGCAAAAAAAAAAAAAACAATAGATAAGAATAAAAAAAAAAATGTTGCAACTCCAATCCCAAACCAAGGGCCAACTTCCTTTTGCTTGTGTGCTTGTGCATGTGTGTGTGCATGTGCACGAGTGTGTGGATCTTTTCCTAAAGATCTATAATAATAAAAGTGTAATATGCTAATTAGACTGGACAGCTGAACAACCTTCTGATCGTCATTCTGGACATCCTTCTGGATGAAGCCGCAGCGGCGAGGGCCAAGGCAGAGGCGGTGAGGGGTGATTAGGCAGTCAGGCAGAGGGGTTAGGGCAGGGGTGGGCAAACTTTTTGACTCAAGGGCCACAATGGGTTCTTAAACTGGACCGGAGGGCCGGAACAAAAGCATGGATGGAGTGTTTGTGTGAACTAATATAAATTCAAAGTAAACATCATTAAATAAAAGGGTAGTTTTATTCATTTCAAACGGGCCGGATCCGGCCCACGGGCCGTAGTTTGCCCACGGCTGGGTTAGGGGCATCAGGCAGGCAGGCAGAGGCAGTGAGGGGTGATCAGGCAGGCAGGCAGGCAGAGGGATTAGAGGTGATCAGGCAGACAGGTGAGTGGTTAGGGGCAATGAGGCAGGCAGGCAGAGTGGTTAGGGGCGATGAGGCAGGCATGCAGGCAGGCCAGTGGTTAGGAGCCAGCAATCCCGGATTGCAAGAGGGATGTCTGACTGCCAGTTTAGGCTGATCCTGCAGGGATCCCTGAGGGATTGGGCCTATACCGGCAGTCAGACATCCCCTGAAGGGTCCCGAATTGCGAGAGGGTGCAGGCTGGGCTGAGGGACCACCCCCCCCCATGCATGAATTTCATGCACTGGGCCTCTAGTCATTAATAAAAGGGGTCAATTTCAGAGGACACAGGATATGAACATACAGTTCAAAGGTAGGAAATATAGCTGCTGTTAAAACTTATAAGAGGCTCCACCCCAATCAAAGAAACATAAAATAGCCCGGCTGCTGTGGCCCAGTGGTTGAGCATCGACCTATAAACCAGGAGGTCACGGTTTGATTCCTGGTTGCCCCGGATTGCCGGCTCGATCCCCAGTGTGAGGCATGCAGGATTCTATCTCATCATTCTGTCTCTCTCTCCCTCTCCCTTCCTCTCTGAAAATTAATAAAAATATTTTTTAAAAAAAGAAAAAGAAACACAAAATAAAACTATACTGATATGTTATTTTACATTCATCAGATGAGCACAAATTGGTGTCTGATAAGATTATTGTCAAGGACAAGTAGAAAGAGATGTCCCTCCATGGCTAAAATTCTGGACTGACATATCTATAAAAATTCTCCCACCCTAGCCAGTTTGCCTCAGTGGATAGAGTGTCGGCCTTCGAACCGAAGGGCCTGGGGCTCAATTCTGGTCAAGGACATGTACCTTGGTTGCAGGCTCCTCGGGGCTCGTGCAGGAGGCACCAATTAATGTGTTTCCCTCATATTGATATTTCTCTCTGTCTTTCTCTCTCTCTTCCACTCTCTCTAAAAATCAATGGAAAAATATCCTTGGGTGAAGATTAAAAAAAATTTCACCCACCAATTCCCTTTCTAGAAATACAGGCTACAGGTATATTATCTTAAAACATACTCACACACTATCCAACACAATGCTGTCATACAAAAACACTAGAAGCACGGTTTGTTATACAGTATTCCCCCTTTCTCTGCAGGAATATGTTCCAAGACCCCCAGTGGATGCCTAAAACTGCAGATTGTACCAAACCCTTTATATACTGTGTTTTTTCCTATACATATACACCTATGATAAAGTTTAATTTATAAATTAGGTGCAGTAAGAGATTAACAACAACTAATAATAAAGTAGAACAATTATAACAATATGCTGTAATTAGTGTATGGCCTGCCTCTCTCTCTCTCTCTCTCTCTCTCTCTCTCTCTCTCTCTCTCCAACCAATTTGATCACCAAACATGTAATCTGTGACTAACAGGTGGGGAGTATCTACAGCACAGAAACACTGGACAAAGGGACAAGTTATGGCCCAGGTGAACAGAGCGGACAGTGTAAGAGTTCATCATGCTACTCAGAACGTCACACAACTGAAAACTTATGAGATGCCACCCGGCCAGTGTGGCTCTGTGGTTGAGTGTCAACTCATGCACCAAGAGGTCACCCATTCGATTCCCAGTCAGGGCACATGCCCAAGTTGTGGGCTCGATCTCCAGTGGGGGTCATGCAAGAGGCAGCCAATTGATATTGAGGTTTCTCTTTCATCAATGTTTCTCTCTCTCCCTCTCTCCCTCTCTCTCTCTTTCCCTCTCTCCCTCTCTCTCCCTCTCTCCCTCCCACTCCCTCTCAAATCAATAAAAACATATTTTTAAAAATTAAAACAAAACTTATGAATTGTTTATTTCCGGAATTTTCCATTTAAAATTTTCTGACCATAGGTAACTGGAACTGCATAAAGCAAAACTGACCCTGCATTAAGGGACTACTATACAAAAGACTGGAGACTGACTGAATAGCCGGGATCCACCCCTCTATGGCAAATTTGGTCTGCCTGCCTCAATGTGCTGTGCACGTGTGATCTACCCATAACAACAACATTCAGCACACAGCAGGTGGCCCAGGTGAGCCCCCCACCCTACCCACTCCCCAATGCAAGCTCTCAACCCTGCATGCTAGCCTGGGCAAGGAGCCTCTGCCCACTCAAACTGCCTCAGCCCAGAAAGTGGCCAGGTCTCCTGGCACAGTACAGGCCTGCCCGGCCTGCCCAGCCCACCAGCTGCTCAACGCAGCTGCCACCCCCTGCGTCACCCCTCCTGCCCCCAACACACACACCCAAAGCAAACGTCTGACCCAGGACAGATGAGCTCACAGGCCTACATAGACAGCCCGTGGAGGCAGTAAGCCCAGGCTGCCCACAGGTGGCAGCCCCTTGACAGACAACAGAACCCCTCCAGCCCTGCTTCGTCTGGCTGACCACCTCTCACAGTGCTGAGCCCACTTCCCAGGAAGAAACAACAACAAGGTCTAAATGCATTGTACCATACTCAGGGATTTTCTTTTAATCTTTAACATTCTCATAAGATACAATATGTCCAGGAAAGTGTGGACCACAGTTCTCACTCAAGAAACAGCCAAATATTTAAAGAAAAATTAATATGTATCTTTCTTAAACTATTTTTAAAAACTGAAGTGGAAGGAATGCTTTCAAACTCATTTTATGAAGCCAACATTACCCCGATACCAAAACCAGATAAAGACACTACCAAAAGAAAAAAAGAGAGACGTACAGGCCAGTATCCTTGATGAACATATATGCAAAAATTCTCAACAATATATTAGCAAACTGGATTCAACAGTACATTAAAAGACCTTCACCAGTTCTCTCAGTGGTTAGAGCATGGGCCCATGGACTGAAGGTTCACAGGTTCGATTCTGGTCAAGAGCACATACCTTGGTTTCAGCCCTTGTCCGGGAAGTGTGCGGGAGGCAATCAATTAATATGTCTCTCTCATATCAATGTTTCTCTCTCTGTGTCTCTCCCCGTTTCTCCCACTCTCTCTAAAAATCAATGGAAAAAAATACCCTCAGTTGAGGATTAACCAAAACAAACAAACAAAACCCACTACATCAGTGGTTCTCAATCTTCCTAATGCTGCGACCCTTTAATGCAGTTCCTCATGTTGTGGTGACCCCCAATTTCACTGTTACAAATTGAACATAATTAAAGCATAGTGATTAATCACAAAAACAATATGTAATTATATATGTGTTTTCCGATGGTCTTAGGCGACCCCAGTGAAAGGGTCGTTCGACCTCCAAAGGGGTCACGACCCACAGATTGAGAACTGCTGCACTACATTAAAAGGA